GGGCTGCGGCCCGTTTAACATTAGGGGGAAGTGATTAAATGCAAGCAGTAGCCCGTCGCAACAATCAATGAAACCCCGCAGGCTATGTCGGAAACGCCGGGTGCTGGGCTGTGAGTGCGACCCTCAACTACATAGCATGGGCCCTACACTCAGGGGCCTGGTGGCCTTGTGGAAGCGTGCAGGAACGGTATCACCAGCCTCACTCTGCCTCGTTGCTGTTTTCACGACGGCTCGTAAAAATCAAAGAAAACCCTAAGCCCTCAAACTTAACCCGATCTTCTGAAGCCCCGAAAGCGCCTAATGTCAGGAAAGCTGCTTAAAGGGTCAGAGAGCCTGGTATTATCCAGAAGTACCGCTCAAACCAGACTCTAACTAACTAGTCTGAGGGGGCGCCACTCTTACAGTGCAGAAACACGGAACACGGCCCTCATTCAGAGAACTACACGTATTCATATTCATTTTCAGATGCCTTTTCGGTTCCCAGGCAAGCGTGTCTGTTCAGGCAGCCGCACACAACCCCTTTAGCCCCAGGCATGCAGTGAAGCGTCTTTCGCATTGGGATGGGATTTACCCCGAACGTTGAATCTAAACGCAATTTCTAGGCAGTACCAACCTGTGTATACCAGGCACCTCAACCCTTCTCATCAATGAGCTTGAACATATGCTTCTCAAGCCAACAGCCCACAAAACAAACCCTACATCTCTGTAAAAACAGCCGGCAATCAAGGTGGTCACAAGAAGCTTAAACTCCTTGTCGGACTCACTGGTCGCTGTCGCAGTACGGCCACACCCCGGTCTCGCTTTTAGGGCTTCAGTATGTGTAGAGAGTGTCAGGGTTTAGGGCCTTAGGGTTTAATTAGGGTTTAACGCTGTAGGGCTCCCCGGGGGTGTACCAGGTCATGGTTGGGAGAGGATTAAAAATCTATATCTGTATTCCTTATTGGGTTTAGGTTTAAGTACCCATAAAAATCTAAAATGTTCCCCTACTATGACAAAGTGTAGGGGATTTCGGGTTTAGGGCTCTAGGGGGCGGCCTCCGGCTTCTAAGTTGAACCCTTCGCTTGGCTTGAATGAGCAAAAACACAAAGCAATGACACCCCTAAATCAGGAAACACTACACCGTCAACCATACTCAGAACTCTGCTACCATGTGGAGATGCCTCCTTAGTCACATTAGGACTCGAATTCTTATGATGAAAAGAGCTGATCTTCCGACATTAAACTAGAGCATAATGTAGGGGCCTTACTAATTAGAATGGGGTTTTGGGGGTATGTTATGCCATATTACTGGTAATGAACCCCCAAACCAGTATAGGTAATTATTTCGGCCCCTACATTGTCAGATCTGCGTCTTTGCAGGGAGTAGACTCCCCAGAGACTCCAATATCCCTTAATTAAGGAATATTCCTTAAATTATGGTAGGATCCCGAAGATGATTTAAGGAATATTCCTGAATTAAGGGATGTTGGAGTCTCTGGATCAGATAAACCTCCGCAGTTTGACATAACGAGGCCTCCGACTCCCCCACAGGCCTGAGACCCCAGAAACCTCAAAGCCACGAAAACCCAAACTTGCAGTTACACGCTAAAGCCCACTAAGCTCTCTAAAGCCTTGTACAGCCTCAGCCTTGATTTAATCTTCAAGCAAAAAAAACCGGGAAACTCCTAACTAAAGTCTCAAAACTCCTGACTAAAGTCTCAAAATACCCTAAACCCTACCTAAACCCCCAACAGTTTGTAAAAGAATGGCCCAACACCCATGAGAGGCTACTATTTTACATACTTTTGGGGACTTGGGGGTTTAGGGTTTAAGGTTTATTGGACTATGAGAGGATTTAGGGTTCAGGGTGAGGGTTTCGTAAAGTTTCGAATTGGGTATATAATATAGGGTATAAGAGCCTGCTTTGATGCGTTGAATGGGGTTTCGCGAATATTGCGTACGCTACCGGCTTCTGAAAATTGGGGACCCGAAACGGGCTTGGTCATATCAGGGCCGTAAGATTTCGAGGCCGCGGGCTTGTGCCTCCTAAGATCCTTCCTCACGGTTTCAGGTTGGCTTACAGGGATTGATAGCATTCAAGATTAACATGCTAAGTCGGTTCTCATTCGAGCTGTAAGTGCCCCACGGGCTATATAATTGTAACTCCTCGTTCTCCATTGATAAATAAATGAGCAGTCCCCGGAAAAGGTCCAATTTGTTCCGGGGTGTTTGGCATGGAATGTGGTTTAGGGTTTAGGGTTTAGGCAAATTGCAACCGAATCGGTTCCCCCTGCAAGTAGTTGCGCAGACCGGATCTGCAAACCTTAAAAACAGCGCAGCAACCAAAAAAAGCTGAGGTTCCAGGATATGTAGGCGCCTGGAGCCTCCCCTCCCAAGGCAATGGGAGCGTCGGAACGTCCGGAACACCCGAGGAGAATGGAAACCTCTCCACGGGAACATGCGGGGAGAACGGCAACCCGATTCACCCCTTTACTGTTGCTGTCCCCTCCCGCCGGAAGGCTAGACGCTCATGAAGAAGGTCGCCTGAGCGTGCCCGGGGAAGAACTGCAGACCTGGGTCCGCAGAGGCAAATAGAAGTAGGTTCCCCAGCCCCTTAGCAATGTCAATATATATATATATATATATAAGGGTAGGGAGCCCGAAAATCAAAAAGTGCGAAAGGGTGCTATTGGGAACCTAACGAAAGACTCCGGGAATGTCTAACTTTAGTTTGAGATTCAGGACAGTTGAGGGCTTCAGGTTATGATCATCAAAGGAATACAGATATTGCGGAGACCCCGAAGCCTGCAGGCAAAAATCTCCCTTCGTCGCAAGGGACTGCTAGGATGATTGAAACAATATCATGTGACCTAAACACTCGACCTTATCAACCCTCTAAACCAGACACGTTCCTAAACACAACACTTTCCTATCCTACATCCCTACTACTCGTATAACCCTGCCAGCCCTGTAAACCCGAAACTTTCCTAAACCCGAAACTTTCCTAAACCCCGAATTACTATAAACCCGAAACACTCAAAGATCCAGCTCCAAACCCGAAGCGCCGTCGCTCCGGGCTTCGGGTGGTTAGGACTTCGGTCTTCAGGGTTTCAAGACTTAGGGTTCAGGATTTAGGGTTATAGGTTTAGGGTTTAGGGCATAAGCTATAGGGCTTAGGGTTATAGGGTTTAGGATGGTTTAGGGTTGGGTTTACGGTTTAGCCAGACAGTTGGGTGAGCGCGTGTCGTGGCCTCAGTACGCTAAACTCTAGACCCTAATTAGAGCTGTACCCATAGGCCCCATGGTAGTTCCTTTTGGGGATCGCCTTATAGGATTCTAAATATGAACCCCAAAAAGGAACTACTATGGAGCCTCTAGGTATTCCCTACGGATCCGTAGCAAAGTTGCGCAAGAGCTCCATCTCCTTCTGGAGTTGCCTGGATCGAGCACTCTCCAGTGAAAGCATAACCAATACCCTATTTGGGGGGGGTCCTTATTATGATACTAGTATGATATATATATATATATATATATATATATTATACTGGGCCCCCAAAACTATTATTCTAATTAATAAGGCACCTGTGTAAGTTAAGCGGTCGGGAGGGACTTGAGGAGTTTGTTCGAGCTCCCAGGTTTAAGACGGTTTAAGGTTTGGGTCATTTAGGGTTTAGGGTTTAGGGTTTAAGGATTGAGGTTTCGAGTATAGCGCTACAGGCTAAGGGCTTTCGGCATGTGGCTTTGGGGCGTAAAGGCTGCAGCAATGTCTCATGCCCGAACATGTGCTGCTACGTAGGAATTTGCCTCCAACTGACTTAAACTTGTTGCATAACGCTGCTGGCCAATGCTCTTACTATACGGGCCACAATAATTAGAATAGGATTGTGGGGCCCATGATACTATAATTCAATGATAATATGGAGCCCCCCCAAAATAGTATAGGTAATGATTATAAGGCTCCTATATTATGGTATCCTTATAGATCCCTTATAGTAACCCTTATAGACCCCTTTAAAGGAACCCTGTGGGAACCCTCTAGGCCCCTACACTAAGCACGTCAGATCCTGGGGCTGCGTGAACTTTTCCTGCCAAGAAATTCACATCCTCACTCATGCGCCTACAAAACACGAAGCACCACGGTTTGGGGTTTAGGGGTTGAGGGTTTTGGGGTTTAGGAGTTAGGGGTTTAGGGGTTTAGGGGTTTAAGGATTTGGGGTTTAGGGAAGCACCAGGAGAGCCGATGTAATGTAGGGGCCTTTAGAATTACCTATACTGTACTGGTGGGGGGTCCTTATTATAATTATACTATAATGGGCCTCAAAGCCCTGTTCTAATGACTAAGGCCCCTATGTTACATAAGCACACGTGTTTCGATGTTCTGTATGCCCAGAGACTCCAGTTCACGAAAGAACGAACATGAATGCCGCAATGCCCAACCAACAGACTTTCGGTTTTTAACCGAACTCCTGCATCCTACAGGTAACACAGTGCAGCAAGCCTATAGCCTGAGGCGTATTTTGAAGTCAAAAAACCCCTTTAGGGTTTGGGTTTGTCCAACGCCCGGGACCATGCGACCCAACTCGTTTAAGGGGTCGATTGAAACTCCACAGCCCCAACTCACACATCTGAGTGCCGTAGTAACTAGAACAGAGTTTCGGGGTGCATTCTAGATTTTTATTGCAAGGAGACCAACGCAAGCCAACAAGAACTGAAAACGATGGAAATGCAACAACCTAGTCCCTGAGCTCTCCTACGCTTCAGCATTATTGCATGGGGCTGAGACTTTTGCAATCCGAAAGCCGCAAGAGGCAACCTTGAACGCTTTGGGCGTTGTCGGATCTCTGAACCCGCAGCAAGTGCTTCAGGGGCCTTCTTAATTAGAATAGGGCTTAAGGCCCGTTATACTACTGGTATATTTCTGATCAGGAACCCGCAAAATTGTCTTCCAATTCCAATTCGCGGACAATCGAGCCTAGAGAGGCGCGTCCCAAGACTTGCAGAAAGAAGTGAAACAGCTACGCTCAACTACATGGCCTCCTCATCCAGAAGTCAGCTCCTGAAACCCTGGGGCCCTCGACCGAAACGGATTCAGTGAAGTCCAAAACCAGGCGGACACTGTCTGGAGGGGGGCGATATGAGCGGAAGAGGTCCAAAGTGACCTCGTCATCAGGCAAGTCCATAAACCTGTCTGCATACAACGGTAGTCGGGGGCCGAAAACCGGGAGGACAGGCCGGGCCGCTGTGAAGCGCTTCCAGTGACCCTTATGGACTGCACGGCGCCATGCTTTGTCCTCCTGCTCGACGCTGGTCACTTGCTCTGGCGTCAACAACGGAAGAACATGAACTGTGCGCATCATGCAGGCTGGCGAATGCTTCAGGTGGCCTTGGAGTCGTTCGACCGTGTGGTAAAACTTCATGCACGCCTGGCACACTGGGGTGTGCGCGAGGCGGCGTGCGACGCTGATGAGGCCATGCGCACGTGCCTCATGCACAGCCTGATGCTTGCGCAGGCAAAAAGAAGCTTCACACACTCGACACTGAAAGGGCCGTGGCAGAGGAGGCTCCTCAGCGCTCGCTACCGAAGGCCTGCCTGTCTGAACCCAACTCTCCAGATCACCCTGGTAGCTCTTACAAGCCTTTCGTACCTGTAGAACCCACCAGTTGGGCCGATCCTGAATGGCCTCTACGAGAGCCGTCAGGGGGCAAACTTGCGAAAGCAGGGCAGCAGCCGCCGGGCAGTAAACCGAAACTGCCTGCATGTCGGCAGTGAAAAGACCAAGCCACGAGCGCACTGGGCTGAGCCGCCAATGCGCATGCAAAATATGCAGGAGCTGCGCGGGGCCATGCAACAGTATGCGTTTGAGCTGCACGGCTCGCATCAAAGCCAAGGCTAAGAGAGGCGAGGGGGCCTGCGCCTTGTGCAGAATATCATAACTGTGGGGGGAGCGTTCGGCTGAGGTGCGCCGAGTGAGACCTCCCCACAAACTGACATAGTGTCTGCACCACTGCCTACGATGCTGATGAGCATGGAGAAAAAGCACAGCTCCAGCGAAGACGAAGCGTGAGAGCACCAGAGAGCGCAGCAGCATTCGTCTAACATTCAGGGGAACCCGCTCTGAGCCAAAGAGCCGAGCCTTGAGAGGCCTGAAGATAGCATCCGCTTGCGACTTGCGGAACGCTATGTCCGCCAAAGGGGTGTGGCTGGCAGTGATGATGCTCCCCAAGTGACGGTAAGAGTCCACAATGGGCAAGAGCTCTGTAGTGCCTAAAAGAGTATTGGGGATGGCAAGGCACGCATCCCCCTGCGTGTCCTGCACCGTGCCGGTAGGGTCACAGTCCTGATCGAACAGCACCGCGGTTTTTTCCCTGGCAAAGGTAAGAACCATGCCCATTGCAGTGGCATGTTCGGTCATGACTTGTGTCGCCTTTTTAACCTGACCACTGAGCTGAGAGCGGGCCTTGCTTGCTTGGAGCAGGACAAAGTCGTCCGCCCAGGCGGCCGTGCCAACACTGACACAGGGTTCCCAGTGTGCCCAAGGAGGGGCTTCACGGACATAAGGCACCACCGGGCTGAGCTGATGTTGTTCCAAAGCCATTTCAGCACTGCGAACATATGCCGAGAAGGAGAAGGCAAACAGCAAATCCGCCAGAGGGTCGCCGGGACGGCTACCCCGTTCGGTAAGAACTAAGGCAGCGGCCCCATCAAGCCTGAACCAGGTGCCTCTCATCATGTCCGAAACCAAAGCCGTTAAGTGGCCTGTCGCTCCCGCTTCTGCTACATGAGCAGCTGTGGTCAGGTGACTGGCAAGCTCAGCGACCGCATGCTCGGGCACACCCAACTTATAAAAAAGGGCGACCAAACTACGTTCAGCATCGGCAACCGGCACAAGGGCTTGGCGGATCAACATGTAGAAAGCTGCCTTGACATCGAAAAACACAGCCGCTGTGCCATATCCGGAGCTGCGAGCCCATGCTAGGTAAGACTTGACAGCAAGCGAGATCCCCTCAACGCCAACTCCGGGGAGTTGGCCGGCTTGCAGGTCTGCCTTTACTCTAGCCAAGCTGGGTGCTAGCTTGTCCCGCATAATGCGGTGAAAGATCTTTCCCGGCACACTTGCTAAGAGAATCGACCTAAACGAGGAGCAATCGAACAAACCCGTGGCTCGCTTGGCAAGGCACATAAGATGCCCTCCTCGCCAAAGGGTGGGCTCCTGCAGAGAGAGTGCTGTTTTCAAATACAGCGGAAAGATCCACTGGGAGACAAAGGCAGGGCTATACCGAAGGAGCTCCCCTGTGACCCCATCTGGGCCCGCTGCTTTGCGGTATGGCAGGGACAAAACCTGCCGTTCTACCTCCAGCAGGCTCGGAAGAGCCTCAACATCGAAATGGGGTCCATTCCAAACAGGATCAAAGTCCGAAGTTCGGAAGGCAGCCTCATAGCCTGCGATACTGACCTGCTTGCCTGCCTCTTGATCAGCAAAAAAGGACGTCCATCTGTCCTCTCTGCTTGCCCGATCAACCGCATAAGTTCCATCCTCCAGAAGAACTGCCGGGAGGGGCTGAAAGGCTGAACGGCGAGAAGAACGTGCTGCAGGGAAAGCTTTGCGGACGGCCGCATAAAGTTCCCGAGGCTGGCGGAGGTCCGACAGGGAGATCTGCGCAACTAGACCCTCTAGGTATTGGACGCGGTCTCTCTTTATGGCAGCCCGGAGAGAAGCCGTAAGCCAATAGTGCATATCCAAGGCTCTGGCTATACTGACATCCATTTCCCACAGCCAAATGCCGGCTTGTTGCAGAGCTGCAGGCTGAAATACCCGATTTTCACGTGCTAGCCTGAGCGCCGCAAAGCCAATCAACAGCCTCCTGCGAGCAAGCTCCGACTCCTCGCGGCGCAGGTAGGTACGAATTGCCCCCTTCGGTGCCGGACTATGCGCAGTGTGCAAACACTAAGATAGGCTTTTTGGGGTGTGTCCGGCCGCTCGGGCTGGTGCGAATCACCTGCGGCTATGAGGGCATCTGCTACTCCATCAAAGTGAGGGTCGACAGGCACACTCCATTCCAACTGGGGACTATGCTGCAAGGATTGGATAAACAAACTGTTGCTCCCGAGTACCGGGCTTCACTGTAGGACGGCAAGCAGCACGTTTGCTTGCACAGTAAGACTCCGATGGCTGGAGCTTGCAGAACTGGGATCGCAATGTCACAGGAAAGTGATCCTGGCGGGCTTGGAGAGCTTCAAAAGTGTCCCAAACTTGGGATACATGGTGAAAAGCTACCCAGCTGTTGGGCACTGCAACAAAATCCAAGCGATACTTGACGGAATGGGCACCTGGACCCACCCAAGTATAGGACTGCCCAGTATGATGCAGACTATAAGTGGCTGGGAGGAAACTTCCCACTTGAAGGAGGAAAGAGTGAAAGGCCTCCCCAGCCTCATTCTCGGGCTCTGGATCAAGCGGCCCAACCGCTTCAGTGACCACTGACCCAAGATGAGCATTGGAGTCGGCCAACACAACGAGGTCCGATCCCTGAGGCCTTTTGGACACCTCATTCAGGCGTTCTGTCCAGTATCTTTCCGGTGCGGTTGGGTCCCTGACAGTGTGCCTGGGGCCATGAGCAACCAAAAGGGTGAGTCGCAACCTGGGTGCCTCCACCTGGACCAGCAAATGTCGGGCAGACTGCCCGACGACTGATACGTGACGGCTGTCCACGAAGTATTCCACTCCGGCGACTCGAGCGTAGGGCACCTGCAAATTTAACCAAAGGGAGCAGCCGTAGGCCCCTTCTGGTGTGGCTGCCGAGTTAAGCATAAGGAAATGACGGTCAGGCATGACCTCGGTCCGAGGTAGTCTCGTCTCCTGCAGGCCAACCGCCCATACCCCTTTCTTGAGAAACTGGGCTTTCAGCACATCCCTTTTGCCTGCGATCATCATGCCTGCGTGCTGTGCCCGCAGATGCCGCCCATGTGGTACATGCGCGTCAAACAGGGAGAGAACATTGAAGGAGGCCCAAGTGATGTCATATTGCACGTCGGCTGCCCGATGTTCAACCTGTTGCACACCTCTGGTGGGCGGAACCACGAAGGGGCGTTGGCTCTGCAGACGGCAGGCGTCTGCTTGGAGAGCTGGCAGATAAGGCAGGCAAGGGCTGCTGTGGTGTGCTAGCCAGCCCCACTGACGCAAGGAATGTCCAGCCCATTGTCCTGGCCACTCTGGTAGGAGACGCTCATAGACAGGGCTACCATCACGTCTGGCCTTTTTTGATAACTGATCAACCAGCTCGTTGGGAAGCACACCCGAATGTGCTGACACGTGGCAATGCCCGATGGCTGAACGCGCTGAGAGGGCTTGGCGGAAAAGTGCCACAATGTCGCCTACATTTGGGCCTCCGGGTTCGCTGGCTACCCGTGGTGTGCTGGCAGCCGCAAAGACCCCTGCGCCTGCTGCCTGTGCATCATAGCAAAACAGGGTCGGGACCTGGAGATGCGGCGCCAACTCCAGAGCCCATGCCATGGCCCATCCTAGAGCCAGCAGCTCAGCTACAAGTGGTGTATCCTCCAATTCACCAAGCCAAAAGGGCGTATGCGGAGGTGCCGCGGTATAGGCACTGAAACCAAGCAGAGCAAGCCGTGTGGGGGTTCGTGCCCACACCGAAAAGGCCCAGGCGGCTGGTCTGATGTCAGCATCCACATTAACTGGACTATCCGCAGAACCGTCAGTGTACACTTCCAGCTGGCACAATGCATCCCAATCTGGGTGCTGATGCCAAACATCGATAGTGCGAAAACTGGCTCGCCAGTTATCAGGGACACATGGGTCTGCCAACAAAGGTCGAAGATCTGTATCTAGCCAGTCATTGTCCAAAGCTGACGGCGACAGCTGCATCGGCGGAGGTGGGACGATATCCAACAGGGTGAGTGCCCGTGTCTGGAAGGAGGACAGCGGCACTGCAGTTTGGAGGCGGATTGTTTCCACACAACCTTGGGCTCTGTCTTGTTCCATTAGAACCTCCAAAACCGTCCAGGCATCATAAAACTGCCGGTATCCAACGTGGGTCCGACCTCCAAGGCCAACTCCAGGAGGCCTGCCTGCGGCCTGGGAAGGCAAGCCATGCTCCGGCTAGGTGTGGGGACGGGCCGGGCGATCGGTGCATGGAGGGCGATGCTGCTGGAGGGGAACGAGCCACTCACTCCGGTGCCAAGGCAAAGGGTTGCTGCATGTCCTTCTTCCCCTACTGGAGGCTTGGCTGTAGTGTCAGCCGTGACGACACTCGGCATGGCTCTCACAGCAGGCAACACCACAACTAGTAAAACCAAAAGGCCTACTAGGTCGACCCTCCGTCCACGGCAAACTCCAGTAATCAGGACCCCAGCCGTGAGCGGGTGATGGAGGCAGCTGAGGACAACTAGTCCGATACACAACAAAAGACAGACCAGGAGGATAGAGGTGATCACCAGACTACACGCCTGTTGCCACTTAACTGCTCGACTGGGCATCACTTGAAGTGAAGGACACAGGGCCATCTGAAGACAGGGCTTCACGGAAAGTATGCGGGCTATGTGCCAAGGGCATGCTACGAAAGAGCCTATGCCTCGCCTTCCAACCAGGTTTTGGGTCGGGTCCACGGCCTGAGTAGTTGGAGGGAGAGTCCCTCCGGTACCAGCATCCCTGGAACCCATGGCAGGAGCACTGCTACCATTCCCGGGTGTGGCTCTGGAGGGGTGATGGCCTCGCGACGTCGGAGTAGCAGTACCCTCAGAATCACTGCCGGAAGGCAAACCTCCTGACGGGGGCGGTGCAATCGCTGCCTGGGCCTGTGCACGAGTGAGGTACTCAATGGTAATTACCTCACCATCATAGAAATGAAGAGGTGCCACAAAGGGGAGAGCTCGGGCGCCCCTGAAAGTAAACCCCAGGACGAAACCCGGTGGGCACCTGGCTGCATACCTGTCAAGGAAGAAAACTGGGTCCACTTGGCCTGATGGCACTGACACCCAGCTGAGGCCCAAAAGGATTGGCCTTTGAGGAATGGGGGTCTAGCCGTGTGGTAGGTGTTGCCAGGGACGGCCATGGTCGCCACAACAACGGCCCTACTGGCTGCACCTTTATACGTATGGTCTGCTATAGCCGGAGCAGCCGGACGTAAAATGAGGTGTGCTGGGAAACATTCCAAGAGTTGGGCCAAGTCCTGTCGAATCAGCCTCTGGCGTCCTCGCGGGACCACAAAACTGAAGTGTCTGGCGTCCGCAAGAATTCGGGCCTGGCCCCTGTAGTCCCCAGGTGGCTCCGCTCTGGGGTTCCACCCTGCTGGGCTCTGGAGAGCATCTTCCAGGGACGAAGTAATGAATACTCCATGATAAGGCGGAAGCACAAGAATGAGGTCAGCTTCCTGTACCTCCAAAACAGCCCCCTCCATAACAGGCCAGGGCACATCATTGAAATAGATGACGGCTTCCACTCCTTCAGGTAATTCCAGAAGACGTATGAGGTCCCCCCGCTGGAGTCTTGGTGGCACTTCCAACGCAAAAAGGCGTTGGTCAAGACGGCAATCAAAGCAAACAGTGACGCATGGCGTATCCCAAACTGGCGCCACAATGAGCATTCCCCAGGCGGGAAATGTCTGGGCGCGTACGGCTATAAGCCTCGGAAAACGCCTGGCCGGCTCGGGGAGCCTAGCTGCCGAGACATGCATGAGGGCCCCATGGAGGGTCTGTGGCAGGCTCAGTCGGACCGTGACCAGCTCGGGGGCATACTCTGGCGCCAGAACTAGGAAGGGAACCTCAGTGTACCTGGGGCCTGCTGTACTGGAGGATGTGCCATCCTGAACAACATCTGAGGATACCCTGGCAGTGGCCGATGGTGCCGAAGAGGCTGTCACAGCCCGGTCAGGCCCCCGACCTCCAACGGAGGATGAAGAAGCAGTCTGTGTTGCAACTTCAGGCAGGCTTGGAGCTGCCGTCGCTGACACTTCAACAGGTGCACTAAGTCTCGTGGCCTGAGGCATGACTTCAGCCTGGAGTACCTGGCCTGAAAGCACCTGGTAGACAGCTTCCCCGATGGGAACCTCCGGCAGGTAAACCTCATAGCCTGGCGGTGCTCGCGATTGAAGGCTAACTTTAAGGTCCTCGACTAAAAGGACCCCATTGCTGACCTCAACTGCTCGCCAGCCTTGCAAAAATGGGCGACAGTCGATCAGGACTTGGAAATGGCCGTCAGGATGATCCTGTGGGTGTCGTTCAGTGACTGCAAGAACCGTCCTACAGGGCATGCCATCCAGCACAGCATCAGTCACCCTGGGGCGCGAAGGATAGATGGCAATTTCTGCTGCCCGCATGTGCAAAGCAGATGCCAGATGTTGGCGGTATCGCGTGGGATGTGCATTGTCGTATGTAAACAAGACAAGCTGGTCATCGACGACCACACAGTACGACGGGCTGTCATCTGGCGGCAGGTCGTAGTCCTGTGCCCAAAGACTGGGCCTGGTCATCATTTCTGTGATGTCCACAGTGGGCCTTTGCGTATACCCAGTCGGCACTGCAACCAACGCTAGGCCAGGGTGCGTGTGCATGGGCTGTTCACCTAAAGGCGCAGGAGCATCCCCAAGGTAAACCTCAACTTGCGGAGTGTCCGGGATACCCAGCAGGTGGATTGCTGCGGCCCTATCTAGGTATGCAGGGCCCTGGACAGCAAAGTGTCTGCCGTCCCATCTGGTGGCATCTACAAACAAAATGTTCATGTCAGGGCTCCAGTGTGGGGCTGCGACAAAAACACCAGCACCTGGCAACGTCTGCGGGGATGCTGCTACCAAGTGCGGGAAACGCCGTTGTTGTGCTGGGTCTCTTTCCTCTACAATCATGGCCAAGCCTTCTGCGAGTGTGGAAGGAAAGCGGAAAGCAATGGCGAGGAATTCTGGCGCAACCATTGGTACATACACCAGCACAGCGGCCCAAGCAACCGACTCCGCATCCAAGACAGCTGAAGAGGGGTGTACCCGGCTCACCTGGTGGAGCAAGAAGAGTGGCGTCCTGAGTGAAGGGCCAAACCAAACCTAATGCTCGGGTAGCCTCGCGCAAATTGTGCAACCTGTCCGCCGAAGCAAAGGTGTAGCACGTCGGCTCCGCATGCAACTTGCAAACCACACCAAGTCGCTCGACTAGGTTATCCGTGGCCTTGGGCGTCCATCCTAAACCAGAGCTCGCAGACTTGACGGATGCAGCAAAGGAGGGGGTGCCCTTGGTCGGCAAGACTACTGTAAGCTCCTCTGTAGCCTGAGAAAGCTCAATCTGAGGGCAAGTCACGGCTTGATGAAGAAGACTACACCAGTCTTTGCAGGAGACTGAAAGGACAGGCCAGTCGCAAAAGGCCGGTCCTATAGTCGGACTGATTGCCCACTTCTGCAAGCTACGGGGAAAAACCTTATGCTCGAAAGAAAATTCCCCGAAACAGGCATGCACACGCAGACGTGGGGATCTGCTCCTCGAGCGATCAGTGGCCTCTGTACCTGAACTGGGTGCATCCTCTTGGGGGTTCGCAGGTGCTTGGTCAGCATCCTCCGCATCCGCATGATCTGAGGAGGGGTCCGGTGAATCTGATTCATCGGATTCACCATGTTCAATTGGAGGGGGGGACCCATCGTCCTCATCCGCGCTGGACACTGGTGCAAACTGTGCGACCAGAACTCTGCCGGCGTCAAGCAGGAAATTGCCCTGATCATCTAACCCAGCCCCATCAGCTTGCGGCTGGTATCCTTCTGGGAGGAAGTAAGACAGCTCAGTCATGAGAGCCTGATGTGAATACTTTCCATTCACAACTGTGATCGCGGAAAGTCCCTGAAGCAAAGGCCGGCTATCCACAATCGAAAGCGTCTCCAAAGGTCTCGGCGCAGCTGGCGGAATTGGCAGACGGCAAATTTCACTTGAGGCTGCAAAAGTAGCCAGACAAGGCCAACCACGGATGACAACATCTGCAATTGGAGGATGTGCCGGCTGGATGGTAAGTTCAGGCTCCGGGACTTGCAAGACCCGTGACAAGTAATGCCGATGCTGGACGGCTGGTGTATCATCCCATTCGATGAGGGTGTGTCCTCTATCCGTGACACAACAAAACCTCTTGGCCTTGGGCGGTCTAGGAAACTCTGGCCGAAGTTCCCATACCCTTGGGCCCGCCAACATCGTCTGGAGATGAAAGCCAACGCGGGCAGGGCCTCCTGCCGGTGTGAAAAAGAAGCAGCTGGCAGGTACTACTTCCACAATCTCTTCATCACCCAGTGGTGCAGGATGTCCAAAGGCATAGACAGAGAAACGTTCAGGGTCCTCAAGTCCTGCTAGTGAACATAACTGCATCTTGGAGACTGTCCATGGGACACTATGTGCGTAAAGCCTGTTGTCAATGGCTGTCAAGTCAAAAACAACAACGGATTCACCGGTGCACCAGGCCGGCAGAGCGAGAAGTAATCCCCATTCTTCTCTCGGTTGGGGATCGACTGGCAACAATTTAGGGTACAAGATCTCACGGGTGGGATCCCTACCTTCGTTGACTGCTTGCAAGACCTGTGGTGGTTGCATCGGAGTTTGGAAGGCAATCTGGACCTGTTCGACCTCACATTCCAAGGCCAACACGAAGAATGTAGCAAGTGCAGTGGCGCTACTTGCAGCTTCTATCGCCTCCGCCGGACCACCGGGTGGCGTTATGGGCCACCTCCCTATTCACGCTATAACTCGGTGAGGCTACGTCTCCTGCGACAACCGCAGCCGGGGCTGATAGCACAGCGTGTGAAGTCACTGCCAAGATGTGATGCAAAGCCGGGCCGTCTAAATGCTCCTGCACCTCATCATGCGCAGGGTCAGAATCCAGATTGTCACAGAAGAAGGCCCTTTGGGGACTACGCGAACGACTGGGAGACCTGCTGGCCTGACCTGTCATGGTGTGTGGCAAAGTAGACTCCTCGTCGCTGCCGGGTGGCTGCGACGAGGGACGAGAGGATTGCGAGGCCTCTGACTGGACCTCCGGTTCATCCTCTGTGGGCGGTTCCTCTTCTCCGGGTCCTTCAACAATGGCCGGAGCTGGTTCAAGGATGAGCTCGATGCTGTTGTATCGCTTGAAGCTGACGAGATGTAAATCACTCTCGGCACCGATGACGCGGAGTCGGTAACCAGGAGGCTCTTGCATACCAATGGCCTCAAGGAAAGCAGCCTCAATCCACTCCGTCCGGAGCGTGTGGTACACAAATGGTGTGTAGCCGAGTGGTCGCAAGTCACAGAAAACTATCCTGGGGATGTCCGCCAACGGTTGTCTTGGACGGAAGCCATCTCCATCCTCGGTGACCACAAAGACTCCGGTACACTTCTTGCCTTGGAAATCAAGCGAGGTTGTCGTGGCAAAGAGGTGCATATGGTGGTCAGGAAAGTCCTGGCCATGGAAGGCTCTCACCATGTCATGGTGAACCATGTCTGGAAACAACGCGGCTTCGAGAAACCGGAGGGAACCCTGAAAGAGGGTAGCAAAACCGGAGCTATGGTAATGTGGGAGCAGTAGGTGCGGCCAAGTCCACTGTCCATTGGCCAGAATCTGGTCCACTGTGGGACCTGGATTGTACTGCTCAGCAGCAGGCCTGACAGAAACTACATCCCCATGAGAGAGCGGCAGAGACAGGTTCCATGGCCAAGGGGATGGGTCGAGTCCGACACGGACATGGCAACCGCTCGGATCCGGCTGGTGTTCTCCGTTGGCTTGCCTCAGAACCTCATCTACAGTGCACCCAGCATGGACACAGGCCGCGAAACGTGTGCCACCAATTGCAGTAAGGTCAATAATGATGGCAATGAGACCGAACCTCTCTGCTGCAATCGGGTAAGCAAGAAGCTTGAGGTGGTCAAAGTAAGGCTGGGGCGTAACTGCTACTATGGCTGAGTGCCCCTGAAAGAAAAGGCCTAACAGTTCCTGAGCTCGCTGGACCACTACGGCTTCTGCTTCATCACAGTGGGCTTTGATGGCGCCCGTTTCTGTGTGATGGTAGGGTGAGAAAATGAGGGCACCAATCCAGCCACCCACCTCCATCACTGTAAGTTCATTTTCCGAAAAGGGAGCCAGAAACGCAGGTGAACCCACTTCTGATGATCGAGTGGATTGAACTCACTGCCTAGCTCCTCAGACACACACTGTGCCAGTACCTCATCCGGCAGGTTAGTTCGAAGTGCCTCTTGTCGGGCCTCCCATTCCTGGCTCTCTGTGTAAACTCCAATCGTGTGCCAGAAGTTCGGCGGGTAAGGGTCCGGTGGCTCTGCAGGAATATTTGTGCCTGTCGGAGCTGCTTCAGTGGAGTGCAGAAAACTTGCTGTAAGGATCCACACAGACCGGGCAAGGGGGTGAGGACTAAACCTTATCACACTGGAGCCTCGCGAACAAAAAGGCCTATCCAAACCTCCCTGTCTTTGGTACCCGGGCTGGCCATGAAGACGATGGTGTGTACAGAAGGAGGTCTCATGCTTTCTTCGTTTGCCAGTCCATGGCCGCCAGTCAAGGCTGGGCTTATTGCCAGAGGCGCACCTGGCAAGAGGCTGAAGGATGCGAAAATCGATCCCACTGGCTGGGGCCCACAGTAGGGAGCCTAAGGGGTCAAAACGTCCTGGGCACTTACGGCCTAAGACACCCCAAAGAGCCAAGAAGACGATTCCTAAAAGCGCCCTTGCCAATGGCAGAAGGAAACCGAAGAACCCTAGTAACCACTGGCATGTGGGACAAATGTCCTCTCGCAGGAACACAGTTGACACGCTCGGGCTCACTGAAATGGCAAGCTCTGTGCTGGAATGCCTGCCTAAGGAGCACTGAGACGGGACGACTGCACTGAAGGGAGGAGATGTGGTGCAATCAAAGGGGCACCCGGTTGAACGACGGACAACCGACGATTGTGGGAGTGAAAGCCCACAAGGAAGAGCCAAGAAAGGCTGAAGGGATTTTAGCTCCATGCCAGAGGCAGAGCACGAGGGAACACCGACAATGGCGGACATCCTCGGAACAAAAGAAGGGCAGATACGAAGCTGCCATGGCGAAGAAGGACATGGCCAACCACAAACCCAGTGGTTGCCAATACCTTGCGAGGAAGACACGTCCCAACAAGTCGTCAAACAAACCCCAAAAAAGGGTTGTCTACGGCCAGCAGGGACTCGAGAAAGGCAGATGCTGTCCAAGGGCAAGTGTGCAGCAGAAAGACATGGCACATCACAAACCCAGTGATCGCCTATGCCTCGCGAGGAGAAGGTACCCCAACAGGTAGTCAGACAGACCCCAAGAAGAGGCCGTCGGCCACCTGCAGGAATGCGCAAGGTGAGGGCCCGGGGCAGGATGCCAGAGGAGGCAGCACAACTACCCGTGAACCTATGCTTCGAATCACTTTGTGAAAAACGCGGTACGAAGAACTCTCGATTCCACAGTCCGTCCAGCCCCATAAGCTTACATCCACAAGATCTGCACCCAGAGATCTTGTGAGACTTGCCGTGGGGAGAGAAGAACTGCGGAAAACGGAGCCTCCCATCCGCTCGAAAAGTGCTCATCCCATACCATCCAAGCCCGAATGTGCGTGCGGGCCCGAGGGCTTGGCATGTCCTGCGGTGGCCAGCTCGTCGTCGTCTAGAACTTCTGTCGTTGACGGAGCTGGGGGCTCTCCTTCTTCGGTGGAGAGCTTGGCATTCCCAAAAGGACACATGGCCCTCCTCTGTTGAAGCTTCTCCTCTACGCTCCCTTTCATTTGATCCGGCTTTTCTGGCTTGCAGTTCTCGTAAGGACTGACCCTGGGGGAGGCCGTCCTCGTCAATCTGCCTGTACTTGGAGAGGCATTGAAGGGACCTGGATCCGTACCACCCGGCGTGAGGATGCCATAGCCCTGTGCCGATTGTCCTGCAAGACCATTTGGTGGTTCCGGATGACTCGGATGGCTCCCTGGCCCTGTGGTGTCGATAGCCGCTGGAAGGGTGCCACCATGAGCTGGGCCCCCCTGCGGTGGGAGTGTGGTCGGAAGCCCTGGTGGGGGCGCACCCTGAGCTCCTTGCAGGCCAAGCAAAAGCTGTTGTAGCTGAAGCGCAAACTCCGGTCGCAACTGGAGCTGCTGTGCTGGGGTCCTCACAGCTCCTGTTGCCTGTCCAAGTCTCCTCGTCGCGGCAAGCGCCTCTCCGAAGAAACTGCCAAGTGCTGCATCCTGGGCTTCCTCCTCTGGTCCCCCGGCTAACAGCTGTTCCCAGCTGTCGTCCTCCATCTTTGTAGAGGCACCGGGCTCCTCCGCTGGAAGGCCATGTATCCACAGACGTGAAATCTGATCGGCGGCTTGTCGTCCAGCTGTAGCTGTAAGAGCCATGTCCTCCTCCAGCTTCTTGATGTCTTCCTCGAACGCCTTCTTCTGTGCGTAGAAGGCCGTCTTGGCTTCGGCTGCCCATCGTGTCCACTGCTTCTCTCGTCGGTCTTTGAGCTCTGTTAGCTTGCGCATCTTGCCGTCGGCTCTCTTCGACATAGTCAACGCCTTTTGTACCGCCTGCATAAGCACAACAGGTCTCGCACTCGCCGGCGTGATCTCCTGACTGGGCATGGATCGGGGTGGTTCTTCCTCGCGTAGTTGTATCTGGTCGTACCGCGCCACACTTCCATGCGTAGTCGTAGAAGTCGAATCTCTGGACCCAGGCGAGCCCCAGGCACCACGCCAGTACTTTGACTTGTCTTTTCCACGACCCTGTTTGCCTCCGCGAGACTTTTCGTCCCTCCACCACGCATCTTGCTCTGCATGCTCTTGCCATCCAGAGTGCTTGTTTTTCTGTCCTCTGCCCATCCGGGCAGTACGACCCGTTGAAAGCTCCGAGTAGCAAGGAGCTGTATGATGCGCAGCAAGCAGATGAAGATCAGCCCGCCGGGGAGGTAGTCCACAAGCTCTATGGCTATGGATGCGCTTTCTTGCGTGACTCCGACGCTTTCTCAGGCGTCGGTGCCACGAAGGGCTACTCACCGCCGTGACTTAGTCACTGGGGTCAGGGCAATGCACCCGCTGCTGGGTTGCTCGATCCCAAAACCCTGCAAAATTGTCTTGGTAATTACATTAACCGTTAGCCCTAAACCTCAAGCCGAGCTGCTCTGTGCGGTGCACGGATTGGCTCGGGTATCTTGTCGTGAGGTGGACGAGGCCATGAAATGAGAGCCTCAGCAAGAGTTAGGGGTTCTTAGGGTTTACCCATAGGCTCCATGGTAGCTCCTTGTTGGGATTGCCTGATACTATTCTAAATACGAACCCAAAAAGGAACTACCTATGGAGCCTCTAGGTCGGATTTATCTAGGGCTAGGTTCCAGGGCTCAGGGTATCTTAGGATCGTAGGGTTCCGGGAGCTCCTCCCGTTCATGGTTGGTTAGGAATCACGGTTTTGGGGGTTCGCTGTTTACTGCTTTGGGTGCGGTACAGTACCCTGCTGAGCTTGAGGTTCCTGTTGACTGGCGGTGCCCTCCTGACTCAACCCTAAACCCTAAACCCTAAAGACTCCTACGCTGGGAATAAGGGGGACGGTTCGGTACTCTTCCGGGTTAACCTGACTGGGAATCCGAAGGCCTCCGACTTAAAGCAAGTTTCAGCGTTTAGTGCGTTGTTGTTTGGGATATAGGTTTCAGGTTTTGGGGGTTCGTACATACGAGGCTACCCAGCAGGCCCCGGAGATCCCTTTGCAGAACTGACTGTGGCCGTGACAAACCTGCAGGACTCCATGAAGGACGCTCATGCCCGAAACTGCAGAGTTATGCCAGCTGGACAACTGAAAGTACGACAACCCGCAACAGGCCACTGCAAACTCTAGGCCATTTTAGGGTGGAGGGAACCCTAAACCCACTTTTGGTTTACCTACACAACTCACAAGACCAGCCTTCGCAGTCCTTTGCGCAGATTGCGGAGCTCGCGTCCGGAAATCGAGTGCCTCAGAACGAATACGAAAGGCTAGGTGGGCTTCAGGTTGTTTTTGGATTTTGGGTGGTTCAGTGTTTCGGGGGCTTCGAAACCCAGAACAGTGGGCTTCAGGTCTAGGGCTTGCACCCCTAGACTAGTCTCTGAAATATGCAGCCCGAAGCTATGAACGAAGTGCTGTAAAACCCTTTACCTCAAAACCCGGGCATGCGCCTTGAAATTTATGGGTGCAGAAAGGAGCCCGACGCAACAAAGTCTGCAAATCTGGTTGCCACAAAACAGCACCGAGACCCGCCCTTACAAGCTGCTGAAAATGTGTACTGCACCTTCCCTTGCAAGCTGCTGAAGGGTTTAGGGGATTATAGGGTCTTAGGGTTTAGGGTTTAGGGTGCTCCAGATGAGAGTCTTCCGTGGCTTCCCAGGAGGTCATTACCAACAGGAACAATGCTTCCCGTTGCAAGCTCTACACCAAGGTTGGCTGTCAATCCGCAAACCGAGAACCCGCCGAACCCCAGGGAACAAAATACAAATATGATACTGAAGTGCTGCGAAGCCCAAGGAACAAAACAAAACAAGCATGATACTGCAGTGCTGTGCTTGGGTTGAGGGTTTAGGGTTCTCACAGCCAAACCTCCCCAACCCAAAAATGCGAAAGTCCGCTCCCCACACCCTTCAGTCCCAAGACCGAACGCCCTGAAAAACCACAGTAAAAAACATTAAATCGTAGAAAAGTCAAACCTTTCAAACCGTAAACTCTTACATAAAGAACTCAATAAGAACCCTCACAGGTCAGATTGAACATTGAACATGTCATATTGCCCCTACAAGGCATGAGACTTCAACAGTTTGTGACAACTTTTTTAGTCCCCAAGCCTTACCCCCCAACACCGCTTCAACCCAAGATTGCAGTAACCCAATCCGTAAACCCTAAACCTTATACCCTAAACCTTATACCCTAAACCCTAAACCCTATAGCCTATAAACCCTAAGCCCTACCAATGTCAGCCCGGGAGCGGTTCGGCTTCACCTGCAGCCACCTCGAGCATTTGCAGGATCTCCGAGACCTCCGTTTAGGGTTTAGGGTTTAAGGTTTATAGGGTTTAAGGTTAACGGTTTAGGCTTTGAGGTTTAGGGG